TGAACCAAAGTTAGTTTGCTCTTAAGCACTTCCAAGGTCAGGTGAGGTCTACCCATACTCTCTTTAAATCTACATGCCCTCTGATACATAGCAAGACATAATTGAGCACATCATTATTTCGCCTAGTGTCAATAAGCAAAGGTGCTTTACAGACAAATAATTTAATGAAACCTGTTAAATATACAATATTTAGTCTCTTATTCAATAAGTCACTGGCAACTATTGCTTTTTCCTTTTAAGTTCCCCAAGAGAAAGTATGCCAGCATTGTATTCAAAAGGGCTACTCCGTATAATAAGCTAACACTCGCATGTGTTCTGATGATCTATGCAGTTGTCATTGCACTTACAGCAACTGCTTTAATTTGCAAGAGCAAAGTTGCCCCCAACAGTAACAGCTACATTTTTAGTTTTATGGGAGGAGGGGAAGGAGAAAAAACACCCAAACCAAGCACATTTAAATAAATACATGAGGTAGCCTGGTAGCCTTACCACACCATAACCAAAATAGGTGAAAAGCAGTACATTAAATCTAACACCCTTTCAAGATCTAGGACATATTCCATTGCCTTGGAAAACCAGCCTTAAGATAAGTGATAAAATTCCTGTGTTCTAGAAGAAAACAGTGATCTATTGTTAGATCACTGACTTCCTGGAAGAAAGGATATGGAGCACATTTTGCAGTGGCCTGGTTTTGAAGAGACACATTTTTCAGTATCAGATTAGCCACCCACATGAATAGTATTGCTCAAAAGTGAAAAACTACTCTGAGACATTGAAAGGATAAGTATTGCAGACTGTGGAACCATTTCACAAAACAGATTACTTTTTTTTTTTTTAAGAAATTTTCCTATCAAAATAGTTGATCAGTACAATATATCATGCTTCGTAAGAGGTAGCAAGAAAATAAACACATTGCCTCAGATTGGACCAATAGTATTTATTTACTGGGTACTGCTGCAAGTTACATTTGCATTGGTTCAGAGCTGCCTATTTGTTTTTTTTACATTGCACTGCTTTTCCCCCCCCCCAGGTACTGAAATACAGTGAAAGAGGCAGTCTACTATCAAGGTGCTTTTATTGTTTTGTTAGGTTTGGTGCTTCTTTTTTTAACTGAGCCTATAATTCTCTAGGTCATTACTATAGTGATTAAAATTTAGAGTTTAAGTAGGTTTTTTAAAATCATACTTTCATATTTAGCACAATGGTAATTCACTAAGATACAGATTAAAAACATAATATGATCAGGATTATCAAAAGGCAAGGTCACACTCACTTGTAATCTTCATTTGCTGCAGTAAAAACGAAAGCTTCCATGGGGTTCCAACACAGTGCATTTGTCCTCATGTTCAAGATAACCTAAAAGATAATTACACATTGATGTCTTCTCATAGGTATTAAATTATCTGCTGCATTTCAAAGCTTCCTATACCACTGGAGATAAGCACCTCCTAGATACAGAATTACAGCAGAGGAATAGTGACATAACTGAATGTTTTCTTAGTAGTGTTAGAATTGGAACTCAAGATTTTTGTCCCTCATCATATGCTCACTGCTTTGCGCCACACTGCAGTTAAATTGGACTAAGTCATCTTAGAAGTAAATTGTTCTATGTGGTTATTTAACATGTAAGCCATGCAAACATATAGTGGTCAACATGTAAATTTCAAATGTCTGAAAAATTTCATTTCATCGGATTTACAGGAACTTTTAGTAATCTATAAACATACCTAATTACATGGTTATTTCAAAGGATATAGTCATTTATTGATGATGTGAACCAGCATTTGCAAAGCCATTATAACATTTTTATTTTCTCCCAGTTGTTACTATCCCTTCACTCTTTTATCTCTGAAATTGCATTTCATGAATACTTCAGGACAGTTGCCATTTCTTGTTGAAGTGCCAAGCAATGCGTGCAGAAGTTACTGTTTGTAATCCACTCACCACTGTCACTAGATTAGCAGTAAATCATTTGCTACACATTCATCAGACTTGCTGGCTGCTGGTAAGCAGATGGCTACAAAAGAGGGAGAGGCAGGCATCTGATGACAGCCTAGTAAGACCCTTCTACTTTGCTAACAGTGGATTAGGCAAGAGGTGTTAAGCAGTTGTATGTCAGATCCCCCACCTCTGAGAACAGCTGTAGCACTAACAGCTGGGACCCTGTGTGAGAGGGGAAAGCAGGGAGGAGGTCATCTGACAACCCACACAACAGCTTTGGCTTCTGCTGAGTCTTGGGGGAGCTTTCAACTATTGTATTTAGAAATAAATCTCACACAGTTTGACTGGCACAAAGTAGATTTTAAAATTACAGACCAACTTATCAAAAAAGTCAACAACCCTAAACAGGATTTTCCATAATGCTCCAGGCCAACCATAATAATACTTGAAAATACTGAAATTTGGGTGTTTAATGCTGTGATACCGCCCAAATAACTTTTGTTCTCAGCTTACTACAACACCATGCATTTACATACACGCATGGAGAACGGTCCTGTCGGTTCACAACAACATGTAACAAAATATAGTTGTACGATTTTAACTTTTACAATAACGAACACAATCTCAAAGCAAGTTAATAGCAATGTGACCTCTACTGAACCTCTCCCCCTCCAAAAGACTGCGATTTTGTGTGCATATACTCTCATGATTCTCTTTCCCGTAAGTATTCTTTTCCTACATGACATTAACTTATTCAAGATTAAGTCTGTGCTGCAAAATATTGCTCATTTTCAGAAACCACAAGGTAATCTTCAGATGTCTAACATGATCTCTACTTTATAAAGTGACTGTACTGAAAGGATGCACCACTGAAAGGCCCCAAGTTTACAGTAATGTGAAATTAGAATTTGTTCAGATTTCAGTATTGCTTGCCTAACTGTATGTAAACCTTGCTCCTGTCTGGGAAGCCAATAATCAAGAAGGGGAAAAAGGTACACAATTAATGTTAACACATATGTATAATAAATATTTTAAATTGTGCTACAAAAATAACTAATATTCCTGAAAAATCCAGCTCTTTTTCAAAGGGGGTCACATTTGGTCAAAGTCAAATCACACAGACAGAATGAAATATAGGAACATAAAGTTCTCATTGTGGAATTGCTGTCAGCTCAGGCACTTTATCAAGAATTACAACACAGTAAGCATGACAGCCAGTCTGAAAGCAGAAAAGGCCTTTCTAACTCTGCACCGTTTAAATCCCAACATTAATTCAAACTCATGTAAAAGACTCAAAATTAGACAACAAAAACTCAGTTAACTCACAGTTCAGAGCTTCCTTTTCTCTACTGTCATCTGCAGTTACAGACTACTTACATTCAGTAAGTATGACATTCAGTATGATTATTAGCATCATAAGCTTCTGTTAAAAAGGAAAAAATTACCTTCTTTAACGGAGTTGATTTTCTCATATCATATAGTACAATATTTCTGTCAGAAGCACAGCTTCCCAAGAGGTATGTCTAAAAAAAAAAGCAAAACAAAAAACAGTGTGCATAGTCTTCTAAACACTTCTGGAGTGTGATCAACAGCTTACATTAGATAGCTGAGCTCCTGCACAAAGCTGGTAGTCAAACAGTTCCTTTCCAATCAAGGAAATATATTCATGGTTCTTTCTGTGCAGCTAATTAATCAGCACAAACATTTTAAATACCTTTTCCTGTAAGATTCAAAATGCACTCTGTGCTCCCTACTTCACAAGTAACAAGCAATTCCTCATAAATACTTCCTCCACAAACACAGCCCACCCAAGAGGTACACATGAACCGCTGCAGAAGTTCAAAGGCAAATGTTTTGCCATAGAGAGGTGGAGAAGTCTTGGTCACAGGCAGTACAGTACTGAAACAACTGAGAGCTCCCCTGCCACATACCCACTACACTGTATGATTGAGGTACAGGACACCTATTGCTGTGGACAGAACAGGGACCACTTTTCTTTTTCCTCTCCCCCACTAGCAGAGACAAAACATAAAAAGATTATGTGTATACACCCCCCGAATATTATGTTAAAAACGTTATTATGTTAAAACACATACTAAGATCTAAATTTGTAGAAAGATGGTGTTAATAGAGTTTAGATCTTATATCGATCAAGAAAAATATTTATTTCCATTGTAACAGAAACATTACCTCAATGGGATTAAATTTTACACTGCTTATGCTATCAAAACCCCATGTCAGAGAACACATGGGACTTGTCCTTTGCTCATCCCAAATGTCCACTTGCTGGCCACAGGTGGCAAAAACAGCTTCCTTCCAGTGGTGATCAATTCCTGTATACACTGTCTTTAAAAGAAAAAAAAGAAACAGCTTATAAAATCACTTGTATATACAAACACACCAATATGTTCTGTTACAAAAAACAGCACAGTCTGCCATGTTTTTAAGCATTACTGAAAAACAAGTCACCACTGCTACCAGAAACTAATTCTTATGACATACACCCTTACACAATAGACTAGCTTTCTGTGTACTCACTTAACGTGCATGCAGGCATTTCTCATTAAGTTACAACAGTCAGCATTAGAAGCCCATTTAAAAAGTCCTGGCTGACCTCAAAGGAAATGGGAAGCTTAAAGGTACAACTACAGATTAATTCAAAAGAAGAGATGAGGGAAAATAAAAACTTAAGATTTACTACCTTTCCAAGAATTGTATGAATAGGTTCTTCTTCTTCTCCATATTCTGGGCTTTCCATTTTCCACTGCTTCACAGTTTTGTCATCACCAACCTGAAAATATTGGGGAAAGCACGTCCAGTTTTATGCAAAGGTTTATTTTACTAGATGTGCTTTGCAAGTAAGTACCAGTAGCCTTTCAAAAGAGAATTATCTATGACATACACAGAAGCAAAGTGCTCTTCTCTTGCCTATTCACTTTTATACCTCCAAGCTGAAGATTAGTTCTCCTGGTCATAATGTTTTGCTAGAAATTGAGAAGGTATGTGTTAAGATTCTTTGTAGCAGCCCACATGGCACCCTGCTTTGGATCTATGGTTCAAACAGCGCTGATGAGGCACTGCTGTCTTGGCTGCTGCCAAAGAGTTCTTGCAAATTTTCTCCCCTTACTCTGTCAGTCATCCTCCCTGCCTCCCCCATCAGCAAGTAGCCTTGGTGAGGGCAATAGACTGAGAAGGTACACAAGTGTGACAGGTGCCCTGAACTGGCTAAAGGGGTATTCCATACCACTGAATATCATGCACAAAAAAACCTGGGTAGTGGAAGAAAAAGCGGGAGATGGGGGGTGGGGGGGAAGGCAGGCTTCTAAAATGGTTGCTGCTCAGACTTTCTGGGGATCTGCCTGTAAAAGGAGGTGACTGATTTCCTGTTTGTCAGTTTCACTACCACCACTCTTCCTTTACCTGTTCAACTCTCTTTTATCTCAGCCCATGAATCTTTTTAACTTCCAGAGTCAAACAGCAAAAAAGATGAACTGGAATCACTGCTGTTTTTCTAGGCTACATTTTGTGATTCTGAATCAAATGGCACCTTGAACTGCAAATTATCTTCTGGAAGTCATTTTGATGAGCCTGTGAACAGTTAAAAGGCCCTTTTGACCTCAGTTGCTCCAGATGCCTGTTCCTAACTCCATGCTACTTCTTGCACTACACCAGCACAAAGCTTTTGCATAGCTGTGCAGTGACCTAGATGAGCCAAACTGGCCAAAAAAAAAAAAAGTTAGCTATCCAAGTTTAACTTCCTCTCCTCACAGTACTACTTCTGTTCCTTCTTCCTCTCAATTTTCAGACACAGGGATTGTAAAAATGGGATTCTCATTTGGAGTCACTTAGAATTTTTTGCTATGGCTTCCCCTACATCTCACCTACTGTCCTCACAACCTGATACATACTTCAGAAATGATAAACATACAGCAGTGAAAATAGGTCTTCAATGCCCAGCTCAAAAGAAGAAAAACCTCAGGACACTCTACTCTTCAAAATCAATTATTTTTATTGCATCATCTTAGAGTTGCTTTAAAGCAAATAGGAAGATACACCCTTTTCAGGTAGCTCACACACAATTTAATCAGTTGTGATTGACAGAATCACACACAGAATCCTAGGGGTTAGAAGGGACATTGAAAGACCATCTAGTCCAACCCCCCTGCCAGGCAAGGTCACCTAGAGCACATCACACAGGAATGTGTCCAGGTGGGTTTTGAATGTCTCCAGAGGAGCTTCCACAACCTCTCTGGGCAGCTTGTTCCAGTGCTCTGTCACTCTCACAGTAAAGAAGTTTTTTCTGATGTTTACGTGGAACAGCAGTTAATAAAGCTTTAACATAAACTTACTGAACATAATTGCCCAATTGGAACCACTGTGAATTAATCAGCTTAATCACAGGGTATGAAAATGGTTACTTTTATTATAAGAGTTTGTATGTCATCCAATGACCACAACATATCTATCTATCTATCTACTACTTCAATTAATGTTATCTATCAACTTCTTTAATAGAAACTAATTTTGTTTTAATTACATGACCAACCATTAGCAACTTTTTGGTATCTACCCTTTTCATTCATCGCCTTGGAAAACTCTCATACCACAGCACTTAACAAACCGAATACACGCGTTCATACAATATTTAAATCTCATATGCCAGAGGGGAAGATGCACACTGGAAAACAGATGGTGAACAGGTACTCTGTACTGCTACACTGTATCAAGGAGACACATTATACTTACAGTAAAGAATGATGTACCACAGAAACGAGCACACATGCCTCGAACAAAGCCTTCATGGGCTTGTATAGTACGAATGCACTGTCGTTTGGTCAAGTTCCAAATTCTGACCTATTAAAAATAGAAAAGTATTCTGTTGTTAATTTTTTTTACAACCCACAACTGCAGTTCATAATCCATACACAAGAGATCACACGTGTTGTTAACAAAATGGCATGGCTGGCTTGAGCACTGGTCAGATTTTATAATGCCAAAACTACTTAATTATTTCAGTCTTGGAAAAAAAAAAAAATGTAATAGTGCTGCTCTTTCCTTCTTACCCCTTCCCCCCACCCAAGCGGTACATTTACCGTATGTTTGCATTCTGTTTTTGAACTAGAATTCTTGCTACAAGACAGTAGCAGTGATAATTTCAGCAAAAAAATATACATCTTTAAAGAGAAAAAAGCACACTGAAATTGCCTTTGGAACCAACAGGATATTTTCAGTCCGGCTGCTGTACTACATTTCATATAGATGTCCACCTGTCAGAGGTTTTGGTGTCAAAGCGTTTCGGATCATTAAAAAACAAGAAGTGGAGATCAGTTTTTATATTTGTAGGCACTGACAGTACCCAGTACTTTACCAGTGGATAAGAAATCTGGCCAGTGTTTCCTTTGTATTTATGCCTCTCCTCTTTGAAAAGGTTCATCTCCCTTACACTAAATGCACGCATGGCACAGGCACCTTCTAGAAAATGCAGAAAGCAACCAGCTACCCAGAAGACACCTTTAAAATACATAAATACTTTCAAACAAACAATATAAGGGTGAGAGAGCACAGAGAGGACAGCACAGACAGGCAATGTTTTTCTGCAACTGACTCAAATAAAAGTGCCCTTACTCGCTAGTTGTAATATTTTGGTAGAATAATCAAACAGATATAGGGTTAGCATTTTTTAGGCAATATGTTAAATTATTATTCCACAAAGTTTCTGTTGTCTGCCCTCTGTCCCCTTTCCCAGAAGCTCTGGATGCCCCACTCCTGGAAGTGTCCAAGGCCAGGCTGGATGGGGCTTAGAGCAACCTGGTCTAGCGGAAGGTGTACCAGCCCAAGCAGGGGGGCTGGAACTAGATTATCTTTAAGGTCTCTTCCAATCCACACTACCTGATGAATCTGTGATCTGACTTTATGTAATCTCCTGAATCTGCAGCAGTTTAACATCTTCAAGGGAAAAGGAGGTTATGTGGGCAGCAAAAAGCAATCACTGTGGACAGACTGCTCTGTCTTGAGGAACTGAATATCACAACCGCTGCTCACAGCTGAACAGCTGAAAGCTGTTGCCTAAAGATTTTTGAAACTCTGTGTGCTCTGGGAGGTCACAACCTGCAGCGTGAGAAACACTGTCCTAAACTGGGTAAGTTGCACCTCCTGAGACAACAGGGTATCAGAGCTAGACAAAGACAGAGTTAAGCAACAGGCATTTTAAAAACACACAAACAACGACCAAAAAACAAACAAACAAAACCCAACCAAAAAAAACCACGAAAACCCCACAACAAAAATGGGGGAAAAAAAATAAAAATAAGGAAGAAAGGTATCTTGTTGGCTGTGATCTGCAACTACAGCTTACCTCTCCATCACAAGCTCCAGACAGTACTGTAGACAAACTCTTCGGATGTTTGGCTATGCAATTAACTCCATCTCTGTGGCCATCAAGTGAGCCAAGAAAGGGTTTTGCAAACACACGTTCAAGCTTTGTTGCATTTAGAGCTCTTGTGTACTCCCGTGGAACCTCAAATGGATGCAATATAGGGTCATAGTTTCTTGGAACTGCAATAAGAATGAGACAGACATTATAAACTCGTGGTGTGTAGTGTAGTTCAAGGTAAGCTGAATAAGAAAGCTTGTATCTTTGATTTTCCTGCCATGGGAGAGTTTTCTGCAACACTAACATTGTCTTTCCTACTGTTTTGAAATTGGTCCACAGGATCATAAGCTCACTTAACACACTTGAAGTTAATAGTCTGAAATAACTCTGAAATTATTTAATGTCTTTTTCAAGGGAATAGTGCTGAATTAATGAAGATATTAATGTACACAACAAACTGGAAACTGCAGATACTACACAATTATTAAAAAAACCCAAACCAAAACAATAACCACAAAGACGACTAAAAAGCCATAATACTTACCCTACTACTACTAAGCTCTAACATACAGAAAGGACACTGTTACATGCACATGTACAACAGAGGCAAACTAGCTCTCTTCATCTTTATTATATATCAACATATAAACCAACACAGAATTTGATTTATCAACTTACACACAAATCCCACTTAGAAGTAGAAGATGTATTCAGCTACTGTCCCAGTAAGTAGCTGCTATAGTATTTTTCCATGTTGCACGTATGTCACCAGAATTAAATAACTAGAGGACGGTAGTTATGATGCTACCTCACATACCACAGCCACCTACCTCCGGTTCAAATACCACCTATATGCAATTTAAAACCCTACAGGTGTGCTGTCCTGCTCAAAATAGTCTGATTCAGCACACCCAAGGCACCCGGTTTTATTCCTGCTCTTTCTGATGAATAAAGGCCATTTTCCAAACTTTGTTTCTAGAAACTAAACCTCATCTCTACCTGCAGAGGGGGAGCTGCGCTCCTGTGCGAGATCAGCTTGAACACATCACAGAACTCACCTCCGCACCCACCAGGCTACAGCTGCTGCGACTCAAAATAATGGGCAACATCTACACAACTCTGGCCCGTTCTAATAGGGGATACGAATAAGCGAGGTGAGCTGTACCAGAACGTAAGCACTGGGACGTGCAAGAGGTTGCCAGGAGTCACCTCGTTAATACCACGAGTAACCTCGGAGGCCCAGAGCGGCGACTCCCCCGCCCCGCCCGCAGCTCTAACCGCGCTCTCAGAACACACCGGCCCCGCCCGCCCCGGCCCGGGCTCCTGCCGGGCCCGCGTCCTGCCCCGCGGCGGCGACCGCCCGCACACCGGGACC